CACGCCTCAGCCTGTAGCTCAGGGGTGCAGCACACGTGGTCCTGGGTTCACGCCTCAGCCTCACGTGTCAGGTAAGTGCCATCTACAGCATGATACTCAGTACACTGGCAGGATAACCTTTTAAATGCTAAACCGTTCAAATATTTTCCACTTTTCAGGTTAAGTCACCTGTACCAGAAACTAACAATCAACTACACCAGCATGCAAATCCAAGGTGCTTCTGTTCTAGAAGCAAGAGGCCTATGATGCTCCATTTGGTACAAAGCTCAGGTGCATGGAAGGTTCAGCAAACATCCGGGCAACTCCTCTGCTTTCCATAATAAATCTAACACCCAAGAGACACCATCACAAAGGACAGCTGAATCTTACATGCAGCATTTGTTACTCGCAGACAGAGAAGAATTCTCTTGCAGAAGTGCTGATCGGGACACCCCGTTGAAGCCTCCCTGGAGTTCCAGGTGTAGGTGGTCCAGAAGGTAGCGCATGAACTCGTGGGCATCCTGCTGCTGGTAGCCCCTGGAAGCCAACAGAGACAGTCATCGGAGGGCCCGCCCTGCTCCGCATGGACAGAGCGCCACTGCCCAGGCCTTTACCCCAAAAGCTGCATGTGGAACACACAGGCTTCTCTTCAGGAAAGACTGCTACTTAAGGGTTGTTCTGCACACCGTGCACTACAGCTAGCTGAATTTGTGGTGACATTCTCCAGGACCTTTCCAGCCTTAGAACTGGACAGCCCAGAAAGGCATGTAACTTAGATACCAAGTCACACAGGAGACAGTGACAGGCCTAAGCCTGCATCTCCCAGCCAGGTCCTCTTTAGAAGAGGCTCAGAAGGTAATGTTTCACATCTTACCCTCAGCATAAAATTAGGTGTAAACTCCATAGACAGGAAATAAAAAAACTGAGAACTCCATAGATTAAAAGATACTAATTATTAAATGCTAACAGAAAAGCTTTACAAAGTTTAAGATGTTGGACATTCTATATTTGCATCTCTGATCCAAAAAACAGCTTTATAAATGAAAAAATTGCATTGATACCAGGTGTGGTGGCGCACACCTGTTATCCTAGCACTTGGGAGGCTGAGGCAGGAGGACCGCTAAAATGGCAGGGCCAGCCTGGGGTACACATTGAGACCCTGTCTCAAAACAAAACCAAAAGCCTCATACATCAACTCATACATTTTTGCTCTGTCCTTGTGTGTGTGTGTAAAATAATGTATTACTACTTACACTAATACAGATTAGAATGTACACAGAAAACAACTGTCACAATTGGCTGAAAGGTCTTGGAGATTCAGGTAAAATAAATCAAGATTACAATAAATGTATCTATAAATCTAACAGGAAAGATTTCTGTCTATTGCTCGACATCGCAGAAGTTTCTCGTTAATGGATCTTCTAAATCTCAGTTTATCTAGTGTCTCTGCAGGAGTCAGAACTCCCATCACGCTTCCATTCTAGGAGATGGAGCCTTGAAAAACATCCCACCAGTTTTAATACATAAATCTCCCCCTTTCCTGAAATGTATGAAAACACTCTGTCTAGAGGCCATGGAACTTAAAGTCTGAAATCAAACTACTGTATTTAACAAGCTAGTATGCAGGTTAATATAGTTCTTGTAAGGCTCAGCTGAATAAAATGTCAAAATTCACAGTCAAAAACATTCAAAGTTGGTAGTTAAAAGTTAATTACTCAAAGAAGATACTTTAAATATTTTCAAAATTGTATCTACTTGTTTTAATGATTGGTAATACTTGAAATTCTCTCACATACAATTTCATTCTCTTCTCAAAATAACCTGGTGTCTAAATCGTCATCTTCCTAAAATGTACCACAAAAGCCAATGCTTTGGAGTTATACAATGTGGAAGAACAAATACCCATGTCCTTAAAAAAAAAA